GACCAATAACGGAACTCCCCATAAGTTAGGTGAAAGAACACCTAAACTGGTACAAACGTAGCACGTGTGCACGAAGATGTCCAAATGCCAGAGCTGCAATGAACGTGTCATTGCTTCTGGGTCCATACTCACGCATTACGAGGCGCAACTTCCGCTGAATTGCTACAGTCCAGTAAGAGACCTCCCTGCACGCTAGACGTAAAACCGGCTAAAACGGCATGAACGATGCACGTGTGCACGTGGATGAAATATGGAGACATGTTTTGGCCATTATATCGCTTTCTGGAATGAAACTGTCATGTTTCCATTTTAAAGTGCTCTGAGTGACAGGCGGCCGCCCGGTCAAGGATCGACACATATCCAGTGACGCATCTCCCTGCAAATTAGATGCGAGGCCGCTAAAGCTAACAATAGAAATACTTCTGGCCCCCTACCATCCCAAACAATGAGATAAAATGTCGCCAAATCTGGCGTAAAACATGGTGATGCTTTTGAGGGGACGGAGGTTTTCAGATTTCTTGCGATTTAATCTTGCAAAATTGCGCCCCTGCAGGCCGTTGGAGAAAGCCGTCTTCCTGTAACCACGTGCTGAAATTTCATCACCGCGTCTGGCTCTAGTCGAGTTGGCTCGAAGCCGTCCCCTTCTCGCCACGCCAGGTATTCCCAGAAATGCATGGGGAGGCCTTTCCGGTCCCCGACGCGCCGCCGCCGGCGCACCGCGCACCCGGACGGCACGTTCGGCCAAGGTCACCGCCAGCTGGCACTCGGGCTCGGTGGCTAGCTGCAGGGGAGGCGCCTTTTAAAATCGGGTTGGGGGAGGGATCAGCCTTTAAGGTTGATCTGACCTACCCCAAACACCTGATGCGCGTACCCTGCATTTCAGCCATTTAAATTGGCTTTACTGACGTCAACGATCAAGGCCTTCATCACCCGCTAACACCATTGCGAAAAAAAAATGACTTCTCGTTTCAAGCCAATGAAGTATTTGTGGCCTTGTAGCAAGTTCATAATTGAAGGTAATTCAGAGATAACATCTAAGCAAGACTGTTTGATATGATCGCCGGAAAAAAGTTTCGTTTAATGATCACGGACGGCTATTCGAGCGCACCCAGACCGTTTTATCCTGAGTGAGCTTGACAATGACATGATCTATCACTAAGGCGACAGAATGGTTGACACATGTCTCCATATGTCGCGCGTGCCACGTTCTTACCGTTTTGACAGGTCCTGCATCTTAGGCAGCACGGATGGCCGTAACTGGACCTGGGGCGGCCCCTGGTCGCGTGGCCGCATGTCGCTCAGACCACCTCGACAAAGAAAGCTTCACAATTTCAGTGAAAAAATCCGGAGAGCAACGAGCACATGTCCATCCTTTCCACATCCATACACACGTGCATTCACACGTAAGTCTGTAACAGTTTGGGCGGTCTTGCTCGTAATTCTCCGGAAGGTCCGTTGCTGGACTTGATAATTTTCGACCGGCCGGACACCAGCTACCGAGACCGCTTGTATAATGGCATCCTCAATCCCAATGCGGTGGCATGGTCCACACATGTCGCCATGTGTGACATGCGTGCACATGTTGCGCCGTTTTGGCTGGTCTGAGCCCTGAACTGAAGGGAGGTCCCTTACTGGATTATGAGCAATCCAACTGAAGTGGCGCCTCTCAAAACGTGAGATGAGGGACCCTTAAGCGACAAGACGATCTTAACAGCTCTGCTATTGAAGTATACATGCACGCACACTATGTTCGCAACAGATTAGCGGTATCGCACCTAATTTGCCGGGAGGTTCGTTGTTTGACTTGGCAATTTTCGACCGGCCGGCCGCCAGCCACCTAGACCGTTTGTACAATGATATCTTCAATCCCCAGTACGATAGAGCGGTCGACACATGTCCCCATGCGCCACATGCGTGCACACGTACCATTGTTATGCAATTTTGGCCATTTTGGCCAGAATGGCCCGAAAGCCATGAGACGGTCATAACAGCTCTGCTGTGTAATCATGCATACACACGTGATTGGACTTGACGCTTAAAGACCAGTCAGGCGCCAGCCGCTTCCGCGCGTGCTCGGGTGCACCTTGCCGCCACAACGCCGGGCGGGCGGCCGCGGGCCGGCCGCCCATCACCTGGTGGTACGTGGCGCGAAGACCCATGCAATTGCTATGTGAATGGCTCGTTCATCTTCATTGTCATGAAAAATATACGATTTAATTAAAATTCTCCTGAAAAGTGTAAGTAAGTCTGGTCAAGCTGACTTTGCATGGGATGGGCTGAAACGGACAAGAATTATCAAAGTTCCTCACAGTAATAAAGGATGCTCATGAATCGCAGCTGGAAACTACTGCTATTTAGATGGACCCTTCATATTGCGCCATCCACGGCGCCGTTCAGCAGCAGGGGGCAGTCCGCAATACTTAAGCGCGAAGGTGTTCTCGCTGTGTATCTGTAGCACGACTGTCGCGGGAACCCGAGACTATCTAGCGCAACAACCAAGGCTCTAGAACTAAGCAATAACGTGTGAGAAGAGCAGTCTGTGCAGCCGCGCGTATGTTGTGGTCGCGGCGTTGCTGCGGACGTTTACCAAAAACCACAATTTGGTACACAGGTCACAGGTACGCAGATTAGTGTTGTGACCGTTGTTTCACGTCGCATATTTTCATGCTCTTATCATGTGTGGGAGATTGTAAGGGCGCTAAAAATATAAGTTGTGTGACTGGGGTGCTGTTAAAGATGAAAGGATGGTTTTTCCATGCATTCATGACCAAATGTAGCTGGGGCAAACCAGGATAACAAAATGTTGGGGCTTGGGTCATCAGTGGACCAACCCTGAAATATATATATATATATATATATATATATATATATGCATTATGTATATGTATATTATATATTCATACATATATATTCATTATGTATATATATATATATATATATATACATAATGAAGAAAGAATGCTGAAGTAATTGTGGGGATTCAAGCATATAGTCATGTGCATGCTCAAGTAGGTGTTTGATATGTGGTCAATGCACCAACATGTACGCATAACTGGGATTCATATATACCAGCAAAATTCTAAATGGTAAAGGCATACAGTGCATACCATGTTTATCATGCAATGTCATTTTCCTTAAAAATGTTGTTTTATTAGAATGGTACAATATATGAACACCGAGTGGGATTGATTAATTTTTGATCAGCTTCCATAATGGTTTGTCATTACGTTGTAGAAATAATGGTAGCCGTTACCGTGAAACCTGACTTGCAAGCTTTCATTTTAGGAGCTGGCAAATATTGTACTTTTGGGTGAGTTAGCATAGCAAATTTTTTACTTTAGGTGAGGTATCAGCTTGTTGACACAAGCTTGGTAATTTGAAAGAGATAATGCTATATGTATTAGGTGAAAATGATGCAAGGGATCATATAAATGGGTGACATGACCAGAATATATCTAATCCATGAAACATAATGCTCACAGAATATTATTGATAGAGCTTAAAAAAATTAAGTAACTGCAAGAGTAAATGTGCCTTATCCCTGAGTTGATAGGGCAAACCAAAACAATTGTATTAGTGATTTTTTGTAGTGCATGCAAATATTGTATTATTTTAAAAAGACAGCATTCAATCCAGTAAATTCCAGATATCTGAAATATGTCATGCTTCTTTTTTAGTCATGGACTGTCATGGACCATAAGCAGGCTACAATGCATTCTGCCAGTGATTTGCCTCACTAAAGATGGACAATGCTTGATAAAATGCAACCACGTGCTTGTTTTCAATAGAGCACATATTTAGGCTAGAACTTAATTATTGTGATGACAAGATTGTTGAACTGCATCTATTCAAATGATATCAGCTATATTTGTTGATAAACCTATTTTTTAGTTCACATACTGCTGTTTGAATTTTGCTCATCAAAGAAATGTCCTGTTAAGATGAAGATATCAAATACATTTTGACATCATGGTGCAATGTTCCATCTCCTTTTATATTTATTGAAAGGCTTATCAGTATAAGCAGATTTATTGTTGAATTTTATGTTCTAAAGCTCTCATGTACCCAAAAAGCCTTTTCTGAGCTGTGCTAACACTTAAGAGCCTCATTAAAAACATTGTGTGTGTTTTTATCCCCATTAGTGCAAATGGTCTGTGCCAAACCATGTTTCAGAATACATGTTTTTATGCATGTCCAACAACAAAATGTGCAACATGCTGGCTGGCAGATGGCCAGCCCAATCCCCAGCTGTCAGCACTTCATTTGTTGCCTGTTTCAGACCACATAGCCCAGGGTTATGTCAGCACCGCGCGTGTCCGCGCTGGGAGGCGGCGAGCGTCGCCACGTCCCGCCACCGCGTCGCTCAGTCGAACCAGAGCCGGCCCGCGATCGGCGGCCGCCGCAGCAGCTGTATGTGCCGCCGCGCCACCGCCAGGGTGGCGCCAGCAGCGGCTTTAACCGACCTTCGTCACCCGGCTTCTCCACCTGCTCTGAGATTGTGACGTCTTGGCGGGCACGCGCCACGCCGCCGCGCGGCGGCTCGCCGGGCCCCCTCAGCCCGGGTGCGGCGCGGCCGCCGGCCGGGCCGCGCCGGCGTCTCTCGCAGCAGACGGGAGACGCCAGCTGGGCCTGGCACCAGAGCGGCGACAGCCTGAGCCAGTCGCGGCCGTGCAGTCGGCAGGGCGCGCCCGACGAAATCGGCGGCGGCGGCGCCGGTACGGGCAGAAAGCGGTCCGGCAAGCGGCGGCGACGCGGCGGGCGCCGCTCGCGCTCGCAGTCGGAAGACCGGCCCCCGGCGGCCACCGAGCCGGTCGACGGGCCGCCGGCGACACCGCCACCGGCGCCCTGGCGGCGAGGCCACCGCGACTCGTGGGACGGCGGCCAGCCGCGCCGCTCGCCGTCGCCGCGCGGTCCGGCTCGGCCGCGCTTCCAGGAGCCGTACCTGCCGCCGGCGCGGCGCGGCGGTGAGGCGTCGCCCACTGTTGGCGCCGGCGACGATCGGCACCGACAGTGGCAGAGCTCGCCCCCGCCGCGGCGCGGGGCCACGCCGCCGCCGCCGTCTACGCCGCCACAGCACGCTGAATGGCGTCGCCAGAGCTACCAGGAGCATCCGAAGTGGCCCGACCAGGCAGGGCACCACCAGACCAGCCACAAGGATCAGCACCGCGGTTCTCCTCAGCATGACAACCGCAGACTTCCACTCGCTCCCGGCGCCAGTCGGCGCACCACCCTGGGGCCTCGTATCAGGGCGCAGACTCGGACGGCCAGCGCCACCGCCCACAGCACGCCGAGCTGGCGCCCACACGGCGTCCGGGCTCGGCCGACACTTCAGCCGCTCCACCGAGCGGACGGCGCCGACGGGCCCGGCAGCACGGCGTCGCTGGGACGGCCCGGGCGGCGCGGTGCCACGCCGTCCCGACGGCGGCGGCGCGGCCAGGCAGCGCTGTCTCCCGGGCCAGCCGGCGGCGACCTGCGCCCGCTCTCACCTACGGCGCTCATCGCCAGCCTGCAGCTGGAGCCGAGCCACAAGCCAGAGTCGCCCGCGCCGCAGTCGCCCACCGACATCATCGCCAGCCTGCGGTACGGCACGCCGCCAAAGCCGGAGCCGCAGTCGCCGACAGACGTGATGCAGCACCTGGGCTTGCGGACGGATACGCCGCGGCTTCCGCGCACCGACAGCCGCGGTCAGCTGGTCAACACCACCGACGACGAGAAGGCCACGCTGGGCGGCCGGGGACGCGGCCGCGGCCGACGCGACCGGCCGCCGGGCGCCGGCCCGGACTGCCATCCGCAGTCGGACGAAAACAAGGCGCAGCTGCGCAGGCCCGGCGCCGAACACGCGTTCCGTTCGGGGAAGCGCGACCCCGCCCCTCCGCGGGCTGGGGATGACATCCTCCGGAGCGCCGGCGGTGGCGACCGCTCACCGCGGGTAGGCGGGGAGGGGGACGTCGGCGGCGTGGGAGGCGTGGACTACCCGCTGCGGAAAGTGGCAAGTGGTGAGGGTGCTAGTCGGCCTTCTGTTGGGCTGGCCCTCGCACCGACATCTCCGGTTCTCAGCGGCACCGTGGCCCAGGGCGTACCGCCGCGGCCTGCCGATGTGGCGCCAGCGGTCCCTCCACCGGAGTCTGGGGAGCCTCGCTGCGACCCGTCGCCGTCGCCCCGAGAACGTGAGCCCGTCCCGACAGTGACGTCTCGGCCTCGCCCGCCACCTGACCGCGACGAAAGCGGCGTGGAGTCGGCGCCGGCAGGCGGCAGTGCCTCCGCGGCCGCCACCCCGGACGGCGGTGTGACCGCGCAGGAGACGCCGCCACGCGCCGAAGAAGCGCACAGCCGACCACCGTCTTCAGACGAGGGGGCGACGCTGGCGGCGAACCGTCCACGCGCGGCGGAGACTGCGGACGGCGGGCCCGCGGAGCAGGAGGGTGGCGGCGAGCGAGACTCGCCTGAGGGGAAGGCGCGCCGCCACTCGTCGGCCTCCTCTGGCCGCGGCCTCTTCAGCCTGAGTCTCGAGGAGCCGTTCAGCTGGGCTGACGAGGTGGAGGAGTGGGAGCGGCGCTTCAACGATGACGGCGACGCCAACGAGCCGGCAGCCAAGGTGGGCGGAGGCACCATGGGCCGTGCTGCTGCTGCTGCCGTCGCTGCGTGGTCTGACAAAGCCCTGCTGCGCGTGGGATCGGACGCGTCACGTCGCAGCTAGTGCGTGCTGTGAAGGAGATCTGGTTGTTTCGGTGAATCACAGATAACTGAAATAGTCTGCCACGAGAAGAGGGGTGGGTGACGCGACACGTGTTATTCTTTCAGCATATATGGGAGAGGGAAAGGTTGTATATAATTCTTATGAGCTTTCTACACTTGAGTTTCTCGACACCTTTGAGCTCTGCACAGAAGCTGGCCGTTAGCTGTAATCGTGCTGGGACTCGTATGGAATAATTGCGGCGGGACCGTGTCACTGCACAGTACCGTCGCGTCGCGTCTCTGCACGACCCTTGATGGGACATTCCCGTCCGGCGGCAGGAGCCTCCCGCCCCGGCGCAGAAGTCGCCGTCTCGCCGCAGCCGCCGTCGGTCGCAGCACGCGCCGCCCCAGCCGGCCGAGGAGGTCAACGACCCCTCCATGCCGGCTCACGTGATCGAGCTCTACAACTTCCCGTCCAGCTTCAGCTTGCAGGATTTCAACGTGGTGTTCCAGGCGTTTGTGGAGCGCGGCTTCGACGTGCGCCGCGTGGACGACACGCACGCGCTAGGCATCTTCGCCAACGCCGCATGTGGTACGTTATGTAGGTGCTTGTGTGCTGGGGCTCACCAGGTTGGTGTTTCTGACTGATATGAAATCACAGGATTCGTGTCGCACGTGTTCGACTGTTTAGACACATGGCTACTACGACACATTTTCTGAGATGCCAATTAAGGCAAAACTATTTCCAGATGCAAGCTTCCCGAATGGATTAAGCTGTCTGTGTTGATCGCTAGCTGTTGCAGATGTAGCCGACCAAAGTCACCGCATGCCTTTTGGGTGCGTAACTCCGATGATTTGTAAGCGCTGGTGACAGCTTCTCCATTCGTAATTGTCGGTGCGTCCGGCGCGCTCGGTGTATGAACAGACCGCAAGCAACGGCCTGGACCGCCAAATACGTCCCGAAAAGCAAGCAAGACTTTGGAAAGGAACTGTGTTTGTGTACGCCGTTGTGTTCCAACCAAGTCACTGTCCTCCGGAATGCGCTATTTTTTGTACTGGGTTCGTACTTGGGCGCGTTTCACGTATTCCTGAGATCATTCGGCTGGGGTCTATTTTCTTAACACAAGGAACCAAATAATGCCTGGTAGTTTGTACATTTTGCACAGAAGTTTGACAATTTTTCCATTTTATTTCTAGACCATGTGTATATGCTGAGTTCGCTCTGCAGTCTACCCCAGAAATGTTTGAGCGAATCGGCCCATTTTGATCCTGAACCGAGTAGTCGACGTTGTCATCTGGGATGAGTCAGGTAGTTAGTACTTATGACACATCCGTGACACTTCTGCACTTCTGCCCTTACACCCATCCCTCTGGGCGACACCCATCTGGGATGCGTCAGGTAGTTAGTACTAATGACAGATCCGTGGCGCTTCTGTCCTTACGCCTATCCCCCTGGGTGGCACCCATCTGGGATGTGGCAAGTAGCTGGTACTGATGACAGATCCGTGGCGTTTCTGTCCTTTCGCTTATCCCCCTGGGTGGCACCTATCTGGGATGTGTCAGGTAGTCGGCTTGATGCATGTCTGTGGTGTTTCTGCCCGTGTCGAGCTAACTGCTGTCATTTTGCATGTCATTGTTCACGCGCTTTATGTAATTCAGCTATGCCTTTCTAGTGTCCGTCATTTCTGATCACAAATGTGGTTTGGCGTTGTGAGTTCCAGGCGAGCACACATTTCAGTAAGGAGGGGCCGTACGTCAACGGCCCTCCGATAGGGACCATTAGGGCCCCACTTTACAAGCATCAGGTTGAAATCCCCACGCTGTCTTCTTGGCCCGTTACTTTTGGCGTGTACGCCTGTGCTCGTTTCGATATGCTATGACAGTGTGAAATTATCAACGGGACTTGTAAGGGGCTCCTATGTATTGTTTTCGGCGCCGCTCGGAGACCCGTATTTGGGAAGGGTTCATGCGTCTTGTCTGTCCTTAAGCCTGTTAGGCGCCAGCTTTGGTCGGTCCACATTTACACGTCAGGGTGTTCAATCCTGTCTGCATCGCATCCCCAGATTGATTAAATTATTAAAAGGCGCATTAAAAGCGTCCCCGTGCTCCTGTCACAGTGTAACAAGGTATGGACCTCCCTTTCCGTCAAATGCAATCCGCAACAACAGCCGTCGATAGCCTTGACGTAAGCCGTCTACGTCCAGTGACCCGAACCACCAGTCTGCCATGGCCTGAGCCGTGTGGCGCCGCGGCCCGACCCGTCAGGTGACGACGCGCGCGTCCCCGCGCCGTGACCGGAGCGCCCTGTGCGTGTCGTTGCAGCTGCCGAGGCGCTGCAGCTGTGCCACCCGATGCTGCTGAGCCGACCGCTGGCGCAGGCGACGCCCCGCTCCCGGCAGCGGGCGGCGCGGCCGGCCGACGTGCAGCCGCCGTACCGGCTGCGGCCCGAGACGAGCGCGCTGCATGCCGACCGCATGGTGGCGTCGGCGCTGGGCATGCGCGTCGGACCGGCCGGCCGCCAACGGCGTGACTACGAGCGGCGCAAGCTGCGCGACGCCAGAGGTGGGCTCGGCGGTCGGCTGGGGCTCGGGGCTCGCGGGTGCGGTGACGGAGGGAGAGCTGTTGTGACGACTCTGCTCGCTGGCTGCGTTGACAGGAGTGGGATCTAGTCGGGTGTTCCAGCCTTACGCTGAGTTCGTGATAAATCGTATGCATATTTCGATTTCGACCGTCTAATGGCGTTTCAATACTAGCTAGCTATTTTTGGATACATTAATGCCTACAAGTTTTCATTCGTGTTTCGAGCACTACGGGTCCACGTACTTTGGCTGTCCTGTAGGCAGATAACTGTGCGTGTCACCAACACTGTTTTGTTTCCCCCTCAGACAAAAAGCGGCAGGCATCCAAGCAAAAGGATGATGCCTGGGAGGGTCGGTTCTGACCTGAGCGACCACGTGGTGTCAGGCGCAGCCATGCCAAGGCGGAACGGATTCGTTTTTAATGTGCCTCGACGAACTGGTTCATGCTAAGTGTGAAGTGGTTACTGGGATAGAAGGATATTTGTCAATGGCTAGTGAGAACGCACCGTTTTGTGGTAACGTTTTATGGGAGGATTCTCCGATGTGCCGTATTATGTCAGAAGCCCCTGCATTCAGCTGTGGTGTGAAGACTTGTGGATTTTGGGGCGACGTTGATGGCAGTGATATCGCACACTGACAAACGATTTTACTGAAATGCCTTCATCATGTCGTGATCTGACAGGCTTTTGTCCCATTTTTATTGATTTTGTTCGTGCTCGGTGTCTGAATTGGAATGGTATCCGCGACCAGGTACCGCTCTGGGGCATTTCAGATGGTCATTATAAGATTGTGGTTTTTTAGCAGCCCCGCCACAAGAACGCATCTCCAGGGCATTTCAAATGTGGGGCATTATAAGCTAGTGGCATTTGATGAACCTCATCTCGAGAACCGTCACGAATTGCGAAATCTACGGGTATAAGCCCGCGTGTTATGTCGCGATGCGTCATCATGCACCATTTCACGTTATGCGCGCGTGCACATATCGCATGTGTATTTGTCTGTAGGTTAGATCATGCATGTAAAGTTGCCATTGTTCCACCTGCAGGCTGCCTCGGCGGCACTTGGTATTGCCTGTGATGACCGGATCTGGCAATGGTCGCTGCTTTAACTGGGCAGTATGCCACTATCTTATGTTGGCAACATGCCGACGTGCTGTCAAACGCCATAGCTCATCCCTCTGTGATGGAAGTGAGGTGCGTGCGTGTGATGAATGAGGATCTACGGAAATGGTCTGCGCCGCGAACTAAAAACCTGAAAAATGTTGTGCGCCAAGCAGCAGTGAAGTTGCTTGTTGTCACTCAAGTGCCAGAACTATGAAGTACCTGGAATTGGAGTTTTGCGAGTGCCTGCTAGTTACGATTTGTGCTTCGGATGCCTGAATATACCTCAACTTTTGGCCAGTCAACGTTTTCGAATTCGGTGCGAAATGAAGACCGTGCTAGGTGGTGCTTTTGTAAATTCAGTTCGAGTGCCCGTAATCACAGTGTCTGATCACCAGCTTCCTTTCATATTAAGAAAAAAACAGTGAGAGCGAGGACCTCAGAACGGGCCAGGAAGTGCGCCGGTACGGTCGCGGGTCAAAAAAGGTGGGATGGTTGAAGACCCTGTATTCGTCTTAGGAATATGGGTCCGTCCAAAGCCGCAAGATGACCATGCTGTTTCTGGGATGGCCAGACATTTTGGAGCTGAGAATGCCTCTTGCATTCGTCAGACGCAATACAGGAACGTGAGTGTAGAAAGGGTGGTAGCAGACTACATTTTCAAGTCGATCCCTTATAGCTCCTAAGGTCGACGTTAAACTTCCGCGAGGAGTCCGTAAGGGCCTGCTCTTTAAGTTCTCGCCATAATATTTTAGACAAATTACGGCTTGTGTTGTCAATCCCAACAAAACACCCCACCAGATTCCAGCATAGGGTGTCATACATGCAAATAGAAACGAGGGCTAGACCGAACATGTGCCTAGATCCCAAAGGCGAGTCCAGCATTCTAGGGGTGGAGCTCGGATGTCATTGGGTTCCAAGCTGATTGGATCATGAGATCTTTTTGGGGGCCTCGGGACACACGTTTGACGTACGTCACGACCCCTCCCACTTCCAAGGAAGCTTACGGGATACACAGAAACAATCAACCCGAAAATTGTCGTAGCTCGCCCACTCCTCACATGAACTGCGACCCATTTCTGAGGCACACACCACGCATCGGGCCGCCTGTAAATAACGCCACCAGGGATGCAATTCCCTATTTAATTGGGTGAACTCGGGCCGCAGCCCCCATGACCTTGAAAAGAAAGTGGGCCCAATCTGAGAAAACCGGTTTGTTGACGTATCTTGGACTTTGTTTCGTGATCTTTTCAGGCCCACCTTCCTCGCCATACCGTCCGAGACCGCGCCCGTGTACGTAGACTGAGCGCACATGGGAAGGGCGTTTTGATGCAGCGCAACGAATGCGTAATAATCGCGGGGAGGGCTATTGACATTGTAAAACAACTTAGGAAAACGTAATGTTACGCTAATGCGCGGTTTCAAATCACGCTGATATCTTAAAGCGAAAAATATGCTTTACCAATGTAACCAACTAACAATTATGGATGGATGATTCTTGCCAGTGTAGAGAGCGCGACCATGGGGAGGTGGGTCAAACATGGTATAAATTGCGTAACGTAATTTATGAAGGGCCCAAAGAACTGGTGTAACTGAAAGTGAAATAACGCAGCATATACAAAAAATTAAACATGTTGTGGTCGATCATATTTCTGGTTGCACTGTACCTTGTTTTTTCCGGTCTCTGAATGAGATTGTTCGGTGGTATTTGAACTCACCTGTTGAATGTTTGGAATCTCATGTAGAAAAACGATATAGGAAACTTTGTGAGTCTGATACTGATCTAAAACTAAGTTCTTAAATTAAATATTATGATCTTTTACAAACAAAGTGTTATACATTTTTTAGCCTTTTTTGCACCTTTGCCGAACCCGCACAGGGTCGGCAAAGTTCGTCGTGGTCGTGCGGTGCGGGGTCCGTGGGCACGCGGTGCATGGCGGTCTTATGGTTTTAGTCGGGCGCGACCACAATGTAAGTACGATTTAATTCGTGTCCCTGGCATACAGGGCGCTCAGTGTGCAGGTTTGCGGCCCGCCCCTGGTGTAAAATCGCTTTTCTAAACCGGCGAATCATCGCCACGCCGCAAATGTCGCTGGTGTTTATGTTATGTTTTTCTTGCTCCTTATTACGCATTTCTGTGCGTCTTAATTTTTTAGGGTGTGGTTTGGATGTGTCATTTATTGAAAATGTTCGGATATTGTCGGTGTCATTTCCAATGCTAGTGTGCAGTGATTTTTTCAGTGCTTTTGATTTGGACCACATGTCCCCCTTCAGTACTTCATCTGCATGCCTATGTAGTGAGTGCACATCCTGCAAGAGTTATTTTTAGTACAAAGAGCTGGTGTCAAGATAATTCTCTATCACTGATATGTTCTTTTAGGTGTTCTTCTGGGCATGATGCAGTGGTGTGAGCTACATGCTACTTTAAGTGGAATTATAATAATTGGATGATGAAACATACCATGTTGCACATGACAAGAACATTTTTTTTTCACTGCTAATATTAATGTTAATTATCTGTGTAAGCAGTGAGGTTTGTATGAGTGTTTGTTTGCTTGGCCCCCAACTTCTCACTATCCTGAGGTTGAGTTATCCATCTGCCTGCATTGTTTTGCTGATGTATATACTCAATAAATCATGTTAAGGTAGTAGTGAAAATTATTGGAAAGCATCTAAAAAGTAATTTGCTGAGCTGTTATTGTTCACATTATAATGATTGCATTTATTATTGTCATCTTGTTTGATAGTGGTATCACAATTATATACTATACTATTACAAGGATGTGAATTTTTCTCCTCTGAGTAGCTTACCTGTTTTAATGTGAACATTGCTGTTTTGGTATTATGAATGTACCTATGCCAAATGTTCAATGCTTTAAGTTTAGTGACATCAGGATACTCAATTAGGTGATTAAAATTCTTAAAGAACAGCAGAAGTCTGGCAGCTTGGGATTTATAGCTGTTAAAGCTGGAATTTTTGCTATTCATGTAGTCTTTTAGTGTCATTATAAACATAATGGATGGTTTGTAATTCCTGAGAGTCCCTAATAATATAATTCACCAGGAAGTGTATCCAATGTTAACACAGGACATTTTTTTAAGATTTAAAAATCTTGTCCACTTGATGGCTTTGTTAGAGCACCTGCCTTCTGATCCATCTACCTCATTATTTGCCCTGGACAGGTATGGTCTGTGGTGGTAGCAGAGGCCTCTAGCCAATCCGCCATTTGTTTACCACAAACAAAGCACAGATTGTTTGTGACAAAAGTTAAATGTGTTGCAATGTTTGACATGGTCCCCTTGTTCTCTGTAGGCTACCATAGTTACAGGCAAGTTGAGAATACTGGAGTGACCCAAACAGCCTACCGTACTAAGGATGGCTTAGGAGGCAGGAGCTCTAACCAAATGAGCTTCAGGGGAGGTCACTTCATGCAGTCATATGGGTTCTCTGGCAAAAAGTGGAATGAAATGTAAATTAAAAGATATGGAAAGTGGGCTGCAAATGTTTGAAAGGAACAATCACAGATGGAAGCTGGTTTGGAAAAAAACTGAGAGTCAAAAATTTAAAATGGAGAAGTCAGGAGAGTTAAGCATGAATTGAGGATAAAGTGGTTAGGGGACAAAGTCAAATGGGACACATTTACCAGGACTAAAAGTGGAATCAGGAAAAAGCTGGAGGACATAAAGTCTAATGAGAGGATAGTTGAAAGCTGAAAAAGGTAAAAGCAGTGAATGATCAGAAAATTATTGAAAGGACAACATGCCCAGGGTAACACTTGAATAAAAGTAATTTGATGATAGTCAACAGAGATAAAACCTCATTGGAGGGCAATTTAGATATATAAATTGGATATGGATAAATATCACTCATTAGAAGTAAACAAGCAGATAGTGAAGAGGGTTTAAGACAGGAAAGTCTTAATGATTTGCCATCTCACATGACAGGGGTTGTTGTAGACTGCACTCAGATGCACCACAAGATGTGATGAGTTTTGCTGCGTCACATCAGTGGGCCTTCTAATTAGGCTCTACCTGCACTCACCTAGCAAGCATTCTTTGCAGCCCTCATGCCTTTACAACAGCACACAACATAAACATTTTAGTTTGCTTTGAGGATTTTAGCATCATTGCAACCTTACCTGAGTGCCCCACTATGGTCTCCAAAATCTGCCCTAGTCTCCCCTGGTTATGTCTCTGTTATGCTTCATCAAAACTTCCCTTTCCACCTCCATGCCTGATCAAATTCATGAATAACCTTTGACTTTTCAATTAAATTTTGATCCCTGTCGACTCAAGGCCCCAATCAGCCTTTTGTCTATACACTTTTTATACTTTACTTTTTCCATGTCAAATTATACCCCCTTTGACTTTTTGTCCTTCAGCTTCTTCCCATCCAGCTTTTGTCCCATTCAGCTTTTTTGTTCAAGTTTTTCCATCCAGCTTTTTTATATTTGGCTTTTTGTCCAGGCAACAGCCTCATGTTATGGAATAAGTCTAACAGTCAAAGTCAAAGCATAGTCTGCCTGCTGGTATGGCATCATCTGTGTTGAAATGTTCGCCAGTGCTTGTGTAACATTACTAATTGAAATTACTAGACATGTTGGAAACACATTGCCAAAGGGATAGAGCTACCATGTTTAACAGTAAGTTAAGTCATTGGCACATTCCAGATTATTGTGTCAGTTTTTTTTTTTGGGGGGGGGGGGCTTTATTCATATGACCAGGTTGGCAAGGTAAGGATCTTAGATATGCATACCTGAGGCAGAGTGATAGAGTATGATTTTTGATGTCTGCTTATTATTACATTCAGGTGGTCACGTCTTGAATGTGCTTGTATGCAACAAAATTGGGCCAAACTTGTATTTAATAATGCATCCAAGATCATACTTTAAAGGTAGTAAAATGCAACAAGTGTTAGTACATTGAACTTTGAATTGAGTGTAATAACCTGAAATATGAATTAGTTTGAAGGCTACTTGTAATTAAATAAATTTTGACTTCTTTTGCACATTTTGTGGTGCTTTAGGGGACATTTCACCAAACGTTTTGCAGACTTATGAAAGTCTGTTGGCCAAATTTTTGGTTTAGAAAGCCAGTTGGCCATGGCATCATTTTGCTACGTGATGTAAGCAGAGCAGTGGTGAAACTTGGTTCATCAAGCTTTTACAGTATTTGGCAATTTGGCACTGTGAGATGTCCGTAAAATATATCTCCATTGCAGATTTTGAGCCATCACCCCACAGCACTATGCCAAAGACATGCTGACTGAAAAGGAAACTGTGTCTCTCTTCTCA